TAAACCCCTCATTTAGAAGGGTTAACTCATTTTAATCCCTTAGGCCCCGTTTGGCAAAGGGTTAAGGAGGAGGGATTAAAGAGAAGGGTTAACTTAGTTAACCCATCGTGAAGGGTTAAAAAAATTCTAAACCCGTTTGGATATGATAGTTAAGACAATGGGTTAAGTCTTTTGTGTTTGGCAAATGAAGAGGGGTTAAGGAGATTAATCTCATAATTTTTTTAAAAAATACCACTTTCGCCCTTATTGAAAATTTATAAATAATTACCTCATCAAAAATGAAAAAATAGACAATTTGTTGTAAAGAATGACAAAAGAAGTGATAAATGCATAAATTTCATTTACCAAAACTTAAAAATTCTATGTAAATCTTATCCTCTTTGCAAATAGACAGTCTCATATCATACACATGAAAATATTTGCTAGTCATATTATGAGAGATTATCAAGAGAGAAAAAGGAGCAAAAGTTACTTAACATAGCTAGTTTGGAAATAAGATATCATTAAATGAAAAAAAGTTACATGTTTTCACCTCTCATCTTGAGAGTGAGCAGTTTCAGAAGTGAGACATCCCTCACTTTTACAAAACCATTACACCATACATGTATGTGTAAATACAAAAGGTCATGTGAGCTATATACTTTGGAGCTCTTACTAATACAAAATACACTGAAACCAAAAAGAAAATCAGTTCTCATTGCTACCTCCTCATCCGAGATCCGCATTGCAATTGACAAAATACAAAAAGGTGTCTGACACACCCTCTAGTGACCTGGGCACCCACGAAACCAGCCTTGCAACTTTGGAGAACACTCTATATCTAGGTCCAAGTTATGCCCCGGTTGCACATGATTCTCTGCTACAGTGTTTTATTGAAATGCAGGTTCATCATTTTCCATTATAAGATGGTCTGGTTCGCTACAGGGTACATTCCCATATATGCTGCCGAAATGAACACTGACATCCTCTGCAACAATTGATCCAAACCAAAAAAAAGATCCAAAATAGTGTAGAGAGAACAACTGAGAAATGCACATTGTGTTTGGCAAATGAAGAGGGGTTAAGGAGATTAATCTCATAATTTTTTTAAAAAATACCACTTTCGCCCTTATTGAAGATTTATAAATTTCCACCAAACACATCAAGCTCCATGCCCTTATTGAAGATTAATCTCATGGTTCTTAGACTTGCTAATGATATTTTTTTGAGAAAAGATTTGCTAGTCATATTAGGAGAGATTATCAAGAGAGAAAATGGAGCAAAAGTTGCATAACATAGCTAGTTTGTGTGGTTATTGTGATTTTTTTTCTTTTTTTTTTCCTCCTAACTACAAAATAGATATCATTAAATGAAAAAGTTACATGTTTTCAACTCTCATCTTGAGAGTGAGCAGTTTCAGAAGTGAGACATCCCTCACTTTTACAAAACCATTACACCATACATGTATGTGTAAATACAAAAGGTCATGTGAGCTATATATTTTGGAGCTCTTACTAATACAAAATACACTGAAACCAAAAAGAAAACCAGTTCTCATCTTGAGAGTGAGCAGTTTCAGAAGTGAGACATCCCTCACTTTTACAAAACCATTACACCATACATGTATGTGTAAATACAAAAGGTCATGTGAGCTATATACTTTGGAGCTCTTACTAATACAAAATACACTGAAACCAAAAAGAAAACCAGTTCTCATTGCTACCTCCTCATCCGAGATCCGCATTGCAATTGACAAAATACAAAAAGGTGTCTGACACACCCTCTAGTGACCTGGGCACCCACGAAACCAGCCTTGCAACTTTGGAGAACACTCTATATCTAGGTCCAAGTTATGCCCCGGTTGCACATGATTCTCTGCTACAGTGTTTTATTGAAATGCAGGTTCATCATTTTCCATTATAAGATGGTCTAGTTCGTTACAGGGTACATTCCCATATATGCTGCCGAAATGAACACTGACATCCTCTGCAACAATTGATCCAAACCAAAAAAAGATCCAAAATAGTGTAGAGAGAACAACTGATAAATGCACAAACAGTTTCTGGTTCATATGAAAACAGTTCCAACAGAGAGGCCACCCGCTGGGGGAACACAACAAAAACCATCGCAGCAGAAAACTCAAACCCTCTGCTACAGTAATTTTTGAATGTAGAAACACCCGAATCAGTGCCATACAGCTGGTGTCCTCTGCTACAATGATTTCTGAATGCAAAACACCCACTTCCAGCAGATACCAAGGCCAGCAAACAGGCTCCAACACAGGATATCCCAAGACCAGGCAATAGAAAAAAAATCCAAGAGAACCAAACCGAAAGCCATATGCCATAAAACCAAATTGTACATACCAGAATGTTGAAAACACCTGGATCCGTGCCATATAACTGATGTTCTGAACCGATTGCATAAGTTCGCTTGCAAAATCTTCAAATGAATTCATCTTCAACCAAATTAAAAACGAAAAAAATTAGATGTCAAAGGCGGCAATATCACCAGCAAGCATAACTCTTAACAAAGATACTTCTATATCATAATACATGCAAGCTTTCAAAAATTGCCAAAAGATGAAAAATCTTGTATGGCAGCTGCTTTCTGTTCTGCTGACCATCTCATATTTTGTATGACTTTCTCTTGGGAACTAAATTATGGCAATCTGATTCTATTTTGCTTTAATGTTTGTCTTAGCTATAAGTATGATTCTATATAACAAATCATATCATACTAAAATCTAATCACCACTGAATGCTTGATGGAAAACTGGGTTAGGTTTCTAAATGCCCCATTTCTGAGTCTTTGAACAGGTTCAGATGTTGACATTTATTTGACCGAAATGAATGCTGAACTTGAATGTTTACTGAACAGGTTCATATGCTGCACTCTACTTGGTATCCCTATTTTCCATCAAACGGATGTACATTATGAAGAAGTACAAAAATGGGAGGTCAATCAAGGATATATGATCACGAAAAAGATACAAATTCGCAGAGGCTGGCATAAAACTTTTCTAATGAAAAAGTCCAAAATAGAAGTACAATAAGTCCCACGCTATGTGCCTATGTGGCACAAGGCTCACAACTTAACTCCAGACCAACAATCGAGAGCTAAACAAGCTCGAATCATATGTGCAACTGGAAAAACAGCACACAGATCCGCATGAACTCTCACAGACACATCCCATGAATCACAGGTAAGCACATGTGTGCACAAGATACTTTCACAACATACACTAATTATCCAGAAAACTCTTTATGTATTTGCCAACAAATAAAGTAAATCATAAATGTGTTTGCGTAAATCAAATGAAACAAAATAACATGATCAAGCAGTAAAAGGAATATCATATATACACATTCAAACAAGGAGATGCCCCAATGACTGTATTAACTGGTCACAGGAGATGGGACTCATGTGTCAACTTGAAGGAATAACAAAAGTAATGGTTTTGCACTTAGCATGAGTACTTTTGTAATGTTATGTCAGTTTGTAATAGCAACAGAATCTCTTCTGGTTATCAAATATGTACTTTGTATACTTTGCTTATATGAGAATATCTCTTTTGAACATTTGTACCACATGTCTAATTTCTTTATTTTCTGTTCTTTTTTCTAATCAACATGTTTAAAAACAATTTCAGAAATGCATCAACTGTGTCACTGAAAATGATAAAATAGGAAAGGGTTTAAAATAATGTGATGGTTTCATCGAAATAAACTGGCTACAAGAATAATAAGAACATCGTACAAATTCCAGGAAGGAGAAACAATGAATATTGTTGTATCCTTATCCCAGGAAGCAATAGCTCATTTATTGCAAACTTTCAGCATTAAATACATCTGGTTATATCTGAATAAACAACATAATTTGGCAATCTAATAGGGCAAAGGTAATCCACAAAATCTTATATAACATAGACCTTTGCTGCAAAAACCTGCTGCAGTACAGGAGGTTTTCTCTAATTTACTCTAGACACAAAAGTAAAATCATCATGAGGCCAAAGATTAATGGATGAACAAGGAGAACTACATTTCACCTTCAGACCCTTATATTCAATGATCGTAAACATTATCCATCTCCATCATAGATTACCTATGTAGATGCATTTGATATAACACAATTACTAGAGGAGGAGGAGAGGTTTTTTTTTTTTGTGGGGGGGGGTAATAAGTCCAACTGAACAGATGTGCATGACCTCTAGTGCATTTGACATAAATACATCAATATTTTTCTAATGTCTGAATGTTACAGCATTTGGAAATATACATTAATGAAATACATGAACTTGCCCCTAGGGAAGTAACTAATTTAGTAATACATTATGCTGATGATATATGAATAAGTTAATATCTGAAAAAAACAGCACATTTGACTCTCTCCATGACTCTATGAAAATGAATATCAGCTATCATAAGGATACTAAATCTGAAAATACGGGTTCATGAGAATTTACTTGGATAGAGAAGAATAGAAGAAAGACTAAGAGAAAGACAACAATATATATTTGTGATGACAAATTCATCGCTGCGCCGTTTTACAAGCAGATATCACCAAAGGAAGCACACGAAATCAATGGAAAACCTCAAGAGGTTTCAAAAGAAAAATTTTCATTCAGACGCATATAAATAAATGTTGTTTCAAAACTGAGCATTTTCCAGAACACATCCTTAACTTTTATATGTAAAGCAAACAAAGAGAACAACAAAGCAACTTGAAATAAACCAACAACACTAACAATACACCACAAGAAATAGAACACAATAAGTTAATTTAGAAGAGCATGGAAATTCATAGACGTTCAATTTAGCCTTCTTCGCTTACGTGCATGAAGAACTCCATCCAAATCCAATGAACCAGAACAGAAGCACTGCTTCTTCCTCTTCTCCTATATGATGACCTTGAAGATCCTGCACTGTTGGCTTCCATAGAACCTTCTGGAAAACTGACATCCCCCTGTATTACTGCAGTTGTGATTGACCCAGAGACTTGATCAGCAGCAGAAGCCGATGCTAAATTTCCCTAGGTATCAGCTGCTCAGGACTGGAAGGATTCATCGAAGATGTTGACGGTCCATATCTATTATATGCATTGAATCTATTCCAAACTGACGGGCCAATTCCATCACTAAAAATTGAATGTATATCACTATTTCGAGGGTGAGTAGTCGTACTCTCTCCACTCCGATGCCAAAACTCAATTGCATTATGAAGAAGTGGACTTAAATCACTACCATCACGAAATAACGAGCGTGAGCTACTACTTTGAGGGATTGGTGAATCTTCGACAGGCAAGGAGATATCTTCAATTGCACGCCTAATTTCAGCACTTGTTTCTGCTTCTCTTAACAAACTTCTTGCTCTCAGACTATTCAGAACTGCATGATGTGCACCGCTGAGCATTGAAGCACCGCTGAGCATTGAAGGCATATTAGGCTCTTCAAACCTATGCCTATTTCTCATCTGTTGATTCACAAGTCGCCTCCAAGAGTTTGTGATTCCTTCCCCAAATCTTCGAGAAATGGGTCTGAACTGCTGTCTTAAACTCTCAAATCTATTACCACGAGGTCTCGGGGGAATCTTTATGTTTAATTCCTCGCTCTCTGCAAGTTTTTTCCTATCACTAGCTTCTGAGTTCCCCCTCCCATAAATAGGTGTGATGTTCGTTTCAATAACCTCTCCTTTGCACACTGGACACTCTTTGTGCATGCTATGAACATTCAGCCACTGATACAAACATGGCCAGCAAAATAAATGGCCACATGAAGTAACAACAGGTTCTTGGGCCATATCGAAACATACATTACACTCAAAATTTGCTGCGGATTGGCTCTTTCCTTCCTTCTCATCTTCCGACCCCTCTGCTTCGATACCTTCCACAGGCACTTTATGCTTCCCATTAGTTTCTGCAGCTGGTTGCTGTTCAGTGACAGGAGAAGATGAACGGCCAAGATTGGATCTTTTCTTTTGAAACCTCTTGAGGTTTTCCATTGATTTCGTGTGCTTCCTTTGGTGATATCTGCTTGTAAAACGGCGCAGCGATGAATTTGTCATCACAAATATATATTGTTGTCTTTCTCTTAGTCTTTCTTCTATTCTTCTCTATCCAAGTAAATTCTCATGAACCCGTATTTTCAGATTTAGTATCCTTATGATAGCTGATATTCATTTTCATAGAGTCATGGAGAGAGTCAAATGTGCTGTTTTTTTCAGATATTAACTTATTCATATATCATCAGCATAATGTATTACTAAATTAGTTACTTCCCTAGGGGCAAGTTCATGTATTTCATTAATGTATATTTCCAAATGCTGTAACATTCAGACATTAGAAAAATATTGATGTATTTACCCCCCCCCACAAAAAAAAAAAACCTCTCCTCCTCCTCTAGTAATTGTGTTATATCAAATGCATCTACATAGGTAATCTATGATGGAGATGGATAATGTTTACGATCATTGAATATAAGGGTCTGAAGGTGAAATGTAGTTCTCCTTGTTCATCCATTAATCTTTGGCCTCATGATGATTTTACTTTTGTGTCTAGAGTAAATTAGAGAAAACCTCCTGTACTGCAGCAGGTTTTTGCAGCAAAGGTCTATGTTATATAAGATTTTGTGGATTACCTTTGCCCTATTAGATTGCCAAATTATGTTGTTTATTCAGATATAACCAGATGTATTTAATGCTGAAAGTTTGCAATAAATGAGCTATTGCTTCCTGGGATAAGGATACAACAATATTCATTGTTTCTCCTTCCTGGAATTTGTACGATGTTCTTATTATTCTTGTAGCCAGTTTATTTCGATGAAACCATCACATTATTTTAAACCCTTTCCTATTTTATCATTTTCAGTGACACAGTTGATGCATTTCTGAAATTGTTTTTAAACATGTTGATTAGAAAAAAGAACAGAAAATAAAGAAATTAGACATGTGGTACAAATGTTCAAAAGAGATATTCTCATATAAGCAAAGTATACAAAGTACATATTTGATAACCAGAAGAGATTCTGTTGCTATTACAAACTGACATAACATTACAAAAGTACTCATGCTAAGTGCAAAACCATTACTTTTGTTATTCCTTCAAGTTGACACATGAGTCCCATCTCCTGTGACCAGTTAATACAGTCATTGGGGCATCTCCTTGTTTGAATGTGTATATATGATATTCCTTTTACTACTTGATCATGTTATTTTTGTTTCATTTGATTTACGCAAACACATTTATGATTTACTTTATTTGTTGGCAAATACATAAAGAGTTTTCTGGATAATTAGTGTATGTTGTGAAAGTATCTTGTGCACACATGTGCTTACCTGTGATTCATGGGATGTGTCTGTGAGAGTTCATGCGGATCTGTGTGCTGTTTTTCCAGTTGCACATATGATTCGAGCTTGTTTAGCTCTCGATTGTTGGTCTGGAGTTAAGTTGTGAGCCTTGTGCCACATAGGCACATAGCGTGGGACTTATTGTACTTCTATTTTGGACTTTTTCATTAGAAAAGTTTTATGCCAGCCTCTGCGAATTTGTATCTTTTTCGTGATCATATATCCTTGATTGACCTCCCATTTTTGTACTTCTTCATAATGTACATCCGTTTGATGGAAAATAGGGATACCAAGTAGAGTGCAGCATATGAACCTGTTCAGTAAACATTCAAGTTCAGCATTCATTTCGGTCAAATAAATGTCAACATCTGAACCTGTTCAAAGACTCAGAAATGGGGCATTTAGAAACCTGACCCAGTTTTCCATCAAGCATTCAGTGGTGATTAGATTTTAGTATGATATGATTTGTTATATAGAATCATACTTATAGCTAAGACAAACATTAAAGCAAAATAGAATCAGATTGCCATAATTTAGTTCCCAAGAGAAAGTCATACAAAATATGAGATGGTCAGCAGAACAGAAAGCAGCTGCCATACAAGATTTTTCATCTTTTGGCAATTTTTGAAAGCTTGCATGTATTATGATATAGAAGTATCTTTGTTAAGAGTTATGCTTGCTGGTGATATTGCCGCCTTTGACATCTAATTTTTTTCGTTTTTAATTTGGTTGAAGATGAATTCATTTGAAGATTTTGCAAGCGAACTTATGCAATCGGTTCAGAACATCAGTTATATGGCACGGATCCAGGTGTTTTCAACATTCTGGTATGTACAATTTGGTTTTATGGCATATGGCTTTCGGTTTGGTTCTCTTGGATTTTTTTTCTATTGCCTGGTCTTGGGATATCCTGTGTTGGAGCCTGTTTGCTGGCCTTGGTATCTGCTGGAAGTGGGTGTTTTGCATTCAGAAATCATTGTAGCAGAGGACACCAGCTGTATGGCACTGATTCGGGTGTTTCTACATTCAAAAATTACTGTAGCAGAGGGTTTGAGTTTTCTGCTGCGATGGTTTTTGTTGTGTTCCCCCAGCGGGTGGCCTCTCTGTTGGAACTGTTTTCATATGAACCAGAAACTATTTGTGCATTTCTCAGTTGTTCTCTCTACACTATTTTGGATCTTTTTTTTTTGGTTTGGATCAATTGTTGCAGAGGATGTCAGTGTTCATTTCGGCAGCATATATGGGAATGTACCCTGTAGCGAACCAGACCATCTTATAATGGAAAATGATGAACCTGCATTTCAATAAAACACTGTAGCAGAGAATCATGTGCAACCGGGGCATAACTTGGACCTAGATATAGAGTGTTCTCCAAAGTTGCAAGGCTGGTTTCGTGGGTGCCCAGGTCACTAGAGGGTGTGTCAGACACCTTTTTGTATTTTGTCAATTGCAATGCGGATCTCGGATGAGGAGGTAGCAATGAGAACTGGTTTTCTTTTTGGTTTCAGTGTATTTTGTATTAGTAAGAGCTCCAAAGTATATAGCTCACATGACCTTTTGTATTTACACATACATGTATGGTGTAATGGTTTTGTAAAAGTGAGGGATGTCTCACTTCTGAAACTGCTCACTCTCAAGATGAGAACTGGTTTTCTTTTTGGTTTCAGTGTATTTTGTATTAGTAAGAGCTCCAAAGTATATAGCTCACATGACCTTTTGTATTTACACATACATGTATGGTGTAATGGTTTTGTAAAAGTGAGGGATGTCTCACTTCTGAAACTGCTCACTCTCAAGATGAGAGTTGAAAACATGTAACTTTTTCATTTAATGATATCTATTTTGTAGTTAGGAGGAAAAAAAAAAGAAAAAAAATCACAATAACCACACAAACTAGCTATGTTATGCAACTTTTGCTCCATTTTCTCTCTTGATAATCTCTCCTAATATGACTAGCAAATCTTTTCTCAAAAAAATATCATTAGCAAGTCTAAGAACCATGAGATTAATCTTCAATAAGGGCATGGAGCTTGATGTGTTTGGTGGAAATTTATAAATCTTCAATAAGGGCGAAAGTGGTATTTTTTAAAAAAATTATGAGATTAATCTCCTTAACCCCTCTTCATTTGCCAAACACAAAAGACTTAACCCATTGTCTTAACTATCATATCCAAACGGGTTTAGAATTTTTTTAACCCTTCACGATGGGTTAACTAAGTTAACCCTTCTCTTTAATCCCTCCTCCTTAACTCTTTGCCAAACGGGGCCTTAGAAGGGTTAACTTAACCCTTCTATATTTTTTATGTTTGGCAAATTATGGAGGGTTAACTCATTTTAACCCTTGTATAGATTTTTTGTGTTTGGCGGGTTAAGAAGGGATTAAGTCTCCTTAACCTCTCACTTAACCTTTTGTCAAACGGTACCTTAATAATTTGAGGGGCTAATTAAAAAAAATACAACAAACAAGCGTAACAGGTTAATAGGAGACTATATCCCAGACAACGCTTCGTTTTTACCTCTCCTGCCATCGATTGAATGCAACCTTTCGAAACATTGGCAACTTTTACCGAAATAGAAAACATGTCATGGACTAACATGCAAAACTACCCAAAAAGGGCCGGAAATCTAGCGGAGTGAAGAACGAATCTTGCGGCTCCACTTTGACAAAAAGCCCCACGTCGCTCACCCACTTACAAACCAGTGGGACCCACATAGTACATTTAGTAAATAGTGGGTGAAAAACTGAGTTCGTCAAATAAATCCTCATCGTTATCGGCACCGTGATGCGCTGGCATCGCCCGTGAAAAACAAAGAAGGCGATGGCCAAGAAAGTACCTCCATTTTTTCTGCAAAAAATTAAGAAAAAAATTCAAAAAAAATAAAAAATAAAGAAATCATTTAGAGAGAGAGAGAGTTTCAAATTAGTTTGAATGGTAGACGGGGAAAGAAGAGAGAGGAGAGAGGGGGAGGGGGAGCGAGAGAGAGAGATCTGAAGGGAGATGGAGAGAGGGGGATCTAGTTAAGGGAAAGGGTGAACTTTTGGGGTGGATGAAACCAAAGTTTCCCCAATTTATATGAAAAAGTTTGAATTTTTATGCTGGATTCGAGTTCTTTCCGTCGAGTTCCGTCCCGGGTATCCCTCAAGATCTCTTCTTTCGTTTGTTTCCCTTTCGAATTCCTGTTGAAAATGTAAACTTTCAACAAAAAGTAAAGTTTTTCTAACGCCTCTTTAGATCTATGTTATGTTCTGTTTTCTGAGATTACATTTTGACAGATTTTGTGACCGTGTTGCATTTGGTTCTAATTTGAGCCAATGTTTGAGAGAAGTTGTCAAATTTGGATAAATTATCCTAAAGTTGTCTGTTTTTAGAAAAATTTCCAATGTCTTTAAAAAGCATAGTTAGGGAGCTGAAGGAAATGAGAGATGGGTTCAGTAGTAGCTCCGCAAGAAGAGGAGGCATTGGAGGAGCCGTGCGATGCCCGTGGCCAAACTCTCGGCATGGGCATCAAGATGAAGAGCTCTATGAACAAGGAAATTGGGCAAATTTGCCTCCTGAGCTTCTGTTAGATGTTATACAAAGAGTAGAAGCTAGCGAGGGATCTTGGCCTGGAAGAAGAAATGTGGTATCTTGCTCGTCGGTTTGCAGGAGTTGGAGAGAGATTACTAAGGAAGTCGTTCAGACTCCAGAGCAATGTGGGAGGATTACATTCCCTATTTCATTGAAGCAGGTTGTTTTTTATTTACTTTTTGTGTATTTGTGGTTTAGTTTGATCATGGGGATTGAAGTTTGATAGTGGTTTTTGTTTTCGATGTTATAGCCGGGTCCAAGGGATGGACCGATGCAATGCTTTATAAGGAGGGAACGGGCAACTTCGACGTATCAGTTGTTTTTGGGATTGAGCCCTTGTAAGTGTTTCTAAATTTGTTATGAGTTATATTTTGTTGCTAGCCAAATAATAAGGTTATTGTTTTTATTATCAAGAGGCGAGATAGGAGCAAAGTGTGATTTCTTTTAGAACAGGGTTGTATTTGAGATTGAGCCCTTGTAAGTCTTTCTAAATCCATGCTTTATATGCACCAGCATTTGTCGATAGTTTTTAAAGGTTATGGATTATCAGATGGCAAGACATGGGAAATACTTTGGAAATCATGTCTATAGTTATGCCTAGTAATCTATTTGTTTCCTATTTATGTGTGAAGTATCAATTGTAAGTACATCAATTCTAATATTAGTGCTACACTTCTACTTGTAAGTGGATGAAATAAGTGGATGATATGATATACCGTGAGTTTGCATTTTCACCAATGTGCTACTTGTTGATAACATAGGCATATAAAGAATGAAAGACAATTGCTGATAGAGTACTTGCTTTCAAGTTTCACATTAATTTGAGCACCTTACCTAGATATTCTATGTAGTAACTGAAGAAAAAGGTGATGTAAAATGAAAATGTACTAACTTAAAAATATGATGCAGCCATACAGGGTGAGAATGACAAGCTTCTGCTTGCAGCTCGTAAGATACGCAGAGCAACTAGCACAGACTTTGTGATTTCCTTGTCGTGCGATGACTTCTCTCGGAGCAGCAGCACCTATATCGGGAAATTGAAGTAAGTCACACTTTCAATTGTACGCTAAATCTTTTTTTTTTTGGGTAGATTAATGAGAAATAGTAAAATCTGGGGAAGAACAACAAATACTAACAAAATGCATTTATCTTGTTTCCCCTCATTTCTAAATTGGGCAGTATTGATCCTTGACACCAGCATGAAACCTTTGATATGGCACCATCCAGGCTGTTGATCTCAAACTATCTAACATTTACATTGTTTAGAATAATTAATTTTACATTTCGATGTTTATTAAGTTCACTCGTTTCTTCTCGTATGAGGTGTGTCCGTCTCCAGAGTCATATAGATCTCTTGCAAGATTTTCCTTCAAGAAAGAGGATTAAAATCAGAGTAGCACACTCACAATTTGCATGGTCCTTCAGCTAGTTACTGCATAACTAAAATTTAAGTGTCCTGGAAGAAGTTAAAACAACCCCTACAATAAAGCTTCTATTTTGTTCTGGTAAGCTAATTCTTAATTACTTCCAATCAAGTTCTTTGAAGTCTACCGTTAGTTCTCATTGCCACACTGAACCTTATCTTTTTCTAACTTGTGCATTAATGACCTTCATTTACGGTATTCTTCCAATTTCTTGAATCATAACACACTCATTTCTTATCCTGGGAAAAAGTTACATGTACAATATTCTATGACAAATTTATCGGTCTCTTTCTCTGAGAAAGTAGACCAAGAAAATGTTCCTTCATTATTTGATCCTCTTAATATCCCTTAACTTATAGTAAATTTCCTTCATCTAAACTGTAACCAGATCAAATTTTCTCGGGACCAAGTTCACCATCTATGACAGCCAGCCTCCCCATGACACCCCAATCGTTCCAAACAACCGATCAAGCCGAAGATTCCACTCGAAACAAGTCTCCCCGAGAGTCCCCGCTGGAAACTACAACATCTCGACTATAGCTTACGAGCTCAATGTTCTTCGGACACGAGGACCTAGAAGGATGCGCTGCACTCTTCACTCGATTCCAATCTCATCGATCCAGGAAGGCGGGATCGCGCCAACTCCCACTGGATTCATCCACTCTCTCGATCAATTATCAGCTTCCTCCTCTTCAATGAGACAGGAATGCAAAGACCCAATTGTCGAGTTCTCCTCTACAAGCCTCAGCGAGCCCCTTCGGCCAGTCCAAGCCTTGGACGAGCCCTTGGTTCTTAAGAACAAAGCTCCTAGATGGCATGAACAGCTTCAATGCTGGTGTTTGAACTTCAGAGGGAGAGTCACGGTGGCCTCGGTTAAAAATTTTCAGCTCGTGGCGGCGGTTGAGCCTTCGCATAGAGTTTCTCCTGAAGAGCAAGAGAAGGTGATTCTTCAGTTTGGGAAAATTGGTAAGGATATATTCACTATGGATTATCGATACCCACTATCAGCATTCCAAGCGTTTGCTATATGTTTGAGCAGCTTTGACACTAAACCTGTTTGTGAATGAGATTTGATGCGAATTGCTGCTTCAAGGGTTATTGATGCTTGCTTTAGCTTTTGTCCATGGACAAGAGGTGATGATAACTACTATTTGCTTTTGTAACTTTCCCCCTTCTTTTTTTCTTTTTATGTTCCTTTGTTGATGATGGTGATGTAAATCGCGTGGAGAAGGAATTATAGCAGATAACATGTCATCATTGTAAAACTACTTGGTCTACCAAAATTTGGGCATCATGTCTTCAAGTTGTTTCGAACTATTTCAGTGAAGATTTTAGATTCTGTGTCAATGTTTGCAGTTTTATACATGGTACCCGTACTTAAACAACAGAAACATGGGTATGAGCTGTACTTTCTATGACTGCAGATTTACGTTTTGATGGATTAGTTGCTGTAATCGGAATCCAATTGCAACTGTAATTGGAATGCAAATATCACTTGCTGCGCCTTCTGTCAAATGCACTGGCGGTTTCTGTTCTTTGAGTACACCACACTAGTGGATGTCTCGTATCTTCTTAGCTATGAATATTCGGTCAAAGATATTAATTCAAGTCCATACGATTCTTCTGAATGATTCTTGATCTCTCTTTTAATGACGAATTTTTATGGACTTTGGGTCCAGAAAAATATTATTCATTAAGTTTTGGTTGTAGTGTTGACCTATTATGTTATTCATTGAAGCTTTGGTAGTTGTTTATATTGAAAGAAGTTCCAATTGAGCAAGTTGTCTTGTATTCCCTAATATATGGGCAGCTTCATTTAATAAAAGATTATTATATATGTTTTAAGGTCCATTATCCTAGGTTTTATTTTAGTTGTACATGAAGTATTTAGAATACCCAAGTGTGATTTAAATCTTGCGTGGGCATGTTCAACGGTTTATCCCAAATCTTGAACCTTTTCATGCATTGGTTTTATCTAGATTCTGATCAAATATAATTTTTTTTATCAGATTAATAATAGCTTAATGTTAATATTGTTTACTATTATTCTTCGGAAGGGAGTGAAAGTGAAGTTAATGTTTGCTATATGGCCTTGGATCCAGATTTAGAGGGTTTTGCTCCCTTGAGAAATGTGAGTGTTGCAGATTTGATGTTTGTTTTCTTTCTAAAAAAAGTTTCCAATGGTTAATATTTATCACCTTACTGACTTATCAAGGAAATATAAGGTAGTAAGTTTTATATACTAATTTAAGATTATATATATCCTCTTTGATATACCATTGGTATGATATATTAGAATTATTATATACTTTCTCGTTTGATTCAGACGAATGCTAATATCCATATTTGTGTGTGATCAGCTACGTGCGGTCTCCTAGCTACTCCTTTGGTGGGGTAGCGTCGGTCTCCAATTTAAGTTTTTTAATCCAAGACAAAATAACGGATGCGGTTCGTGGGTTTTGGGTCTGAAACGGGCGCAGTAAATGGATCTTGGAGGATTCAACCCAGATCCCACACAGTGATATCAAGTCAAACAAAAAAGTCCAACGCGCAAGACAACTGATTAATCGAAGACGTTGATAGCAATGACACCTGCTTTTTCTCACTTGTGTTTTTAGGAGATGTTTGGATCGGGTATTTTGAGGGGGGGCTGCCAATTTGTCAGTTTTTTGACAGTTTTCCCTCAAAATCGTCTTTTATAGAGGCGATTTTGGGGAAAAGCTGTGATTTTAGAAGAAAGCTGCTAAAAAGCTGACAAATTAACAGTTTTCTCTTTCTTTTCCCCTTCAAAATACCCGATCCAAACGGGCGCCGTCGCTCGGGGTGGGCGTGGGGGGAGGAGGTGCGTTGTCTGCTGCTAGCATCAGCCAACGACTATTTAGGAGTAACCGTCGTAATTAGGCGCTGCCAATCCGGGGCCGGGGCAAAAAACCCAAGCCGCGAGACCCGGCCCGGGCCCAGACGGGCCGGAGCACCGGGGCCGGCTCGGTATTTTTTCTATTTTTTTTTAATTTTTTAATATTTTTTTTAAAATTTTAAAAAAACAATAAAACATAAAAATTATATTTATAGTAATAGTAAGTATATTATACTGCTTATATAAATATAAATTATCATTATATTACATAATAAGTTATTTTATATAATTATAATATACTGTATTAATATATAATATATATTATACTCTTATATGAATTTATAAAACTATTATATAAAATATACTTATATAGTAGCGTATAAGTTTATGTTTATATATGTATATATAAGTATACTTATAACTAAGAGAGAGAGAGAATAAATATATATATAGAGAGAGTAAACGTACACATATATAAGAAGAGCAACTTAACCTATATAATTATATAAGAGATATAAAACATATATAGAAAAATACTACTTAAATTTAATTATACTTATCTACTAAGTAGCCCAAAGTATTCATGTCATCTCATATATGTAGTAATGTATATAATACACACCGACTGACACACATATGACATATGTTTGTTGAGAAATTTGCATAAAAAAACAATGAAAGAAAATTTGGACTTGTATTCCTCTCAAAATCGATTACAATTTGGATCCGTTAACAAAAGAGAGGAGAACGAATTTGATTCTCACGCCCTTTGTTTAATTCTGGGTTCTTCCACGTGGCGCTAGCAATGCCCCCATCAGAATGCCGGTCGTCGAGTTTGCTTCTCGCTTGACTGATCCGAACGTCTTTGATTTCACTGGAAGCGATGTCATTCTCACGATTTAA